TAACCCCTATTTGCAAGGATAATTAAAGATAAATAGGAATCCGAACATCCACAGTCTTGTTCCCAAATTTAAATAGAATGTATTTAAGTATTAGAACAGCTATGTAAAATATTTAAAATATATCATAATAGTGAATTAATCCGTACAAAAAAATTAATATTTTTTAAAAATAGAGTAAATGAAGAAAATAATTCTCATCGCTCTATTTATAAAGTACCTCATTACATTCTACCTCTATATTAATATAAACTAACTTAACCACATTCTATACCGTAAGCCATAAGCTCTGCACCCTAAGCCTTGTGTCCTAAGTTCTGCGCCCTAACCCCTAAAGCCATGCGCCTTAACCCTAAGCCCTCTGCCCTAACCCTATGTCCTGGGATCTAACCATAAGTGTTAAATTCTTAAATTTGTATATTTTTAATGTTAATTCCATCTTAATTCTAAAATATTTAATCATATTTTAACTCTCGATTAATATTAACTGATTTTAAATCCTAACTTTGTATAACATTTTGAATGTTATTAGGTAAATTAATTATTTTTAACCAGTAATTTTATGTAACTCTATATACATCATCTATTAGTTGGATCACTTTTATGAGATCTCAACTTTTTGGATATTTAAGGGCAAGTAAGAAACCTAAACTTCTGTGATCTATTTACTATATCCATATAAGATGTATTTAGGTATTAATACGGAATAACTAAAAAATTTAGAAATACTTCAAAATCAGTGAAATAATCCCTATAAAAATTTAATTTTATGAATAAATGTAGTAAATAAAAAAATTAATTCTCTTTATTTTATTTCTTAAAGACCTAACATCATTTTAACACTAGTTAAATATTAAATTAAACTAGTTTTCGAATATTATTATGCAATTTTATTAGTTTTCATCAATTGATTTTTGAACAATTCTATATACATCATGGTTAACCCCTATTTGCATGGATAATCAAAGATAAATAGGAATCCGCACATCCACAGTCTAGTTCCCAAATTTAAGTAAAATGAATTTAAGTATTAGAACAAGCTATGTAAAATATTTAAAAATATCTCGTAATTAGTGAATTAATCCGTAGAAAAAAATTAATATTTTTAATACATATAGTAAATGATGAAAATAATTCTCGTCGCTCTATTTTTAAAGTATCTCATTACATTCTACCTCTAAATTAATATAAACTAATTTGGCCACATTCCATACCGTAAGCCCTAAGCTCTGCGCCCTACGCCTTGCACCCTAAGCCATGCGCCCTAAGCTCTGCGCTCTAACCCTGCGCTCTGCGCCCTAACCCTGCGCCCTGCACCCTAACCCTATGTCCTGTGATCTAACCGTAAGCCTTAAATTATTAAATTTGTATATTTTTTAATGTTAATTCCATCTTAATTCTAAAATATTTAATCATATTTTAACTCTTGATAAATATTAACTAATTTAAATATATTCTAGTCGATAAAATCTTTAAATCCTAAACTTTGTATAACTAAACTTATTTTGAATGTTATTAGGTAAATTAATTCTTTTTAACCAGTAATTTTATGTAACTCTATATACATCATCTATTAGTTGGATAACTTTTATGAGATCTCAACTTTTTAGATATTTAAAGACAAGTAAAAACCTAAACCTCTGTGATTTATTTACTATATCCATATAGGATGTACTTAGGTATTAATACGGGATAACAAAAATTTTTAGAAGTATTTTAAAATCAGTGAACTAATCCCTATAAAAATTCTTTATGACAAAATGTAATAAGCTCTAAGTCTTAAGTCCTAACCCTAAGCCATTTGCCCTAACCCTAAGTCATAAATCCTTAAATTTATATATTTTTTTAATGTTATTTGGTATCTTAATTCTAAAACATTTAACAACATTCTAGCTCATTAATAAAAACTAACTTAACCAAATTCCATACTTAAGCCATAAATCCTCACCCTAAGCCCTAAGCCCTAACCTTAAGTCCTAACCCTAACCCTAAACCCAAAATCCTTAAATTTGTATATTTTTGAATGTTAATTGCATCTTAATTCTAAAACATGTAACTACATTCTAACGATTAATATTAACTATTTTAAATATATTCTAAACCATAAATCATATCCCTAAGTTCTAAACTTTGCATTACTAAACTAATTTTGAATGTTATTAGGTAAATTAATAATTTTTTTATTTCAATTAATTTTTAAAACGATTGTATTTCATCAGAACATAACTTTCGTACATAGAACGATTGTCCTTGAGCTGCAGCAACAAGAAAAAACAATGGGACAACTAGGTACGAAAAGGAATATGTGCACCTAATTTCCAAACAGATATCAATCTCACATAAGAATTTGTCCAACTTCAACAATTATTGCTAATTATCAAACACAGTCATATAGGTGGTCACTGCCTCTGTTCATCGCTCATTACTCATAACTCATAAGACATGTACCTGTTTAACAACTTCTCCCCTAACTTGCTTGTGGTACTCTGAAGATCGGTACAACTGGTCAAAAGTGCTCGGAACTGAAAAGACTCAAAGTTATCTATAAGATACGGATACCCGAGCAGAGAGAGTAAGAAAAAAAATGAGATGAAGGAAGATAGTTTGAAATCAAGCCTCCATTCACCTGGAAGTTTCC